GGGGGGGGCGGGGAAGGAGGTGGTAAGAGATCGAAGACGAGAGGCATGACTTTATGTTGCAGTTCCATCAGCTATCTGACGCTCACGAGGCACGATCAGCTTGCAAAGGTTTCGACAACCAGCATCTTGCCAATAGTTCAACCAGCATCTTCTTGTTTCTTTCTTCAGCAGCCATTACATAAACTCCAGGCAATTCATGAGTCACATGCCAATTCCTGGCATTCAAAAGGTCAGAAAATAACCCGGGACGCCTACATGATTGCATTTCGTCTCCCTCGCCGGTGAATGGGAGAAGGGAATTTTTACTTGGCCTAGCATGCACCTTCCGCCTACCTGTGCCAACATCTTTGCAGGAAGAGGAAAGTCTAGAGAAGAATCATACTAATTTGTTTGAGCTGGACTGATATGCATGATATCGTTTTATTAACGGTATAGGAGAAAAGAGCATTGGGACAAATAATGCAGATCCACAGGGAGAAATTGCGTTTGCCTCGGTAAGCATATGCTAGACGCGGATGAATTAGGGTTTTCTTTGAACACATGATTCAGTTCTCTGTCATTGCTGTCATTGGCAGTAGGTGCCTCAATGACCTTGAATGACAATTCAGGGATTTAAGTGCCCTAGCGCAGTGTATGGAACTTTGCCTCCCCCCTATAAAATGCCGGGGTTTGATTTCCTATTTTTCGACTTTTCCAAATTAATGCCTACGAGTCGGTCCCAAAACACAAGTAATTATCCTTTTTATCGATGCCCATCCGATGTCCATTGTCGTAAAAGGAGTCCTTCATCGAGAGACGAAACAAAATCAACTAAGAACTGTGCATACACTACCCAGTCTTCTTCTTTTAATACTACACTTTCTTAACTTGGACGACCAGATGTTAAGCTTTTAACATATGCAGTAAGTTCAAACCCACAAATTAAACGATAACGAAGCGGTTGCGCGATGCTTAACCTGTTCAAGCCTGCACTCAACCATAACAGCGGCGTCTAGTCATATGATTTTGCGCACACTTCAACATCAAAGAAAACTTAAAAACCACCCACGATCTGTCTCCTCTGCGCTTTAAGTACACTCCTCTGCTGGGTCTATGAGGTTGGGTCAATCCATTCGTGCAATTCATTATAGACGTCAACATTTCACGAGTGCTAGAAGGTGATCAAAGTAACAGAGTATCGATTACTTAACGGTTTCTCGTGTTTCTCATGCACTAGGCGGGCTTTTAAAACCAGTCCTTTATTTTATTTCAATTTTCGTGTTGCATAATCATGATAATGAGTGAGGTGTCCTACTGACTACGATTAAACCTCTGTCATGGAAAAGAAGATATTGTGCCAAATGCTTTTCGCACCGATTTTACGGACCAGTATTTCGATTGGATCAGTTTTAAAAAATTAAAAGCAGAAATTTCCGAAAATTAATTACATATAGAACAGTTTGACAATCAACGCCGATGATGTTAAGCATGTGCTCCCAACTTTGGTAGTGCAGTGCCAGTGACTTGAACGTGGACTAGTTTTAAATTATATTAGAATCGCGTTACATCTGCCACTCTGTATCTTCCCCCACCGGCCTGCGTCTAGTGTCAAGACAGAGTCAAGAATACCAGAGGCGTTATAAAATATATATTCTCACTTAATAATTGTTTTGGATAAATTGAAAAAATAAGCATCTCAAAAAAAATAAAATGAGCTTTCGGCGTTTCTCATAGTACGGAGTACTTTTCATCCTCGGTCTCGGCGCGACTACCGAACTCATCACCTTCATCTAGGACGGTTGCGTCTGCTTTATTGTGACGGAATGCGAAAAACTGGCCTATGATCTGCAGTGAAAGAGAATAAATGACTAGTCCCAGGCTTTTGCACGGAATTAGTTAGAAAGGAATTATGATGATGTGTATAACTTACGATGAAATCGAATATTAAAATTCCCAAACTTCCAAGGATCCAGGGAAGAGACTTCATAAGGAAAACTTGATCAGTTGACTTGATGAAGATCTGAAGGCCGTAGAATATATTTCCAAAAATAGCCAGAGCGAAGAAGGTAAAGCTGAGGCCCTCTGTTGACCTCCGTTTGCACTGTTGACAAAATACATTTTATTAGCAGAAGGTCAATCTCTAAAAATGCCCCCATAAGTCCTTAACTTACGTTTTGTACAATTTGGGGCACCCGGGAGCAGAAATACATAACGGTACCAACCCAGCCAATGCCGTAGCCGATTTTCTCCTCCTTAGTCTAACCAAACAGAAAAACAAAATTAAATGCACGTAAAATTACTCGGAATAGTTTAAGCAAACTAACAGATTAACCATGATAAATAACGGAAAATGTGTAAAAATGGTCATTCTCGGAATCTTAATAAGGAAATGTTTCCCTAGACACAGATCCCCAAAGTTGCACAGAATGTGGCCTAAATATGTTAGAGATGAGGACCCCAATGGGGGATGCTTACGGCTAGAAAGCTGTCCCATGGATCTGGTGTGGTGGTCATAGGATCAGCCTGAAGTAGCTGACGTCCCTGCAGGTGCCTTACAGCCAGATGGGGTGGGACTGCCTCTCCGCTAAGCACTGCGGGCATGTAGAAGCAAGAGATTCCGACTATGCCTAACATGGCAGTGGCCAGGCTTTTCGTAGGCGTGCTGTTTGTGACACTTTCTTCTTCATTCTTTTTGTTCATGTAGTCTCCGCCGTACTCTGTTTTTAAAAAAAGACATATTAGTTTGTTTTTATCATTTTCAGAGAACTGAGAAAGCCATTGCATATATAAGCAGGATTTAGCGGAACGTTAACTCACTCTTGACCTTGTGCTTATGGAGACATAAGTAGTATACGTATTGAACGATAAGAACAATGTCGATACAGACGGTGTAGCCTGCCATAACTTTCTGAAATTGAAAGTGCCGAAAGAAATGTGAGTTCGGAATGGGAAATTTTGTGTGTTTCGTCTCTTATACCGCTGCCTGATGCAGCGATGAGAAAGTAGGTGCATAAGTGGATTACCAACGCTTTTGATATGTGAAATCTAGTTTTTATGCCGTCATTGTCATTTAATCGAAACGTTGTTATAAATATTTAAACTAAAATCTACTAGCCGGTGAAGCGCAATCGCATAATATTCTCACCTTACCAACAGTATGAGGTAGCATATAGGCTGATAACAAATACATCAGCTAAATAACCTTGAATAGACCTAAACATGTAAATATACATAGATGAACAGATTAAATAGAGTGCATTCCGTGGCGATATAATGAAGAAGAAAGACGCGTTGGAAATATCGAGGTTTACTTAATTACAAGTCGATTTCTCCAACGGGCCTTCCTTCTTCATAGATATATACTGCCAGTATGTATATTCTCGATTGAAATCAGCAAGCCAACATGCCCGTGGCACAGTGTTTAGAGTGTTAGACTTTCAGCTAACAAGGTCGCGGTTTGAATATAGTTGGTTAATGTCGCCTAATAAGCCAAATGTGAAAATTCCAGTCTCCCTTGTGCTTGTCGGTAATTTCATTCTGAATATAAAATATATATATAAATATGAATAACTAAAGTAATATGCATTCCGAGACGATGGATGAATAAAGAATGTTCGTCGGAAAATCGAGTTTTACTTGTGCGACAATTCACATTCTCAATTTTCATTTAGTCCGACAATTACCTAGTGTCACCAGTTCACTATATATATATATTGGGTATGACTGGCTGATGACGGCTAATAAGCCAGAAATGGC